GGGGGCTGCAATTTTGTGGTTTTTATTTGTTTTTTTTTTTTAATTCAATTCTAAAAAAAAGTAAAAAAAAACTCGTTGTTTTTTTTTTAGTTTCGTTTCTTGAAAAGAATTGTTCTTCTTTTTTTTATTTTATTTTTATTGTAAACAAATTTGTAACCCGCGTCGCTCGCGCGTTAAAAATTTTTTCGCTCGGATTTTGTTTTTTCATTTTTCATAAACATTTTAATATTGTTATTTCGTCGTACAGGACGGGTCGTAACTTGTGACATGCGAATACAAGGATTGAAAAATGTCGACGTATAAACATAATCGATATAATCGAATAAATATTGGTCAAATTTAAAAAAGTAGAAAACAAGATTTTGATGTTTAAAATTGAAAAATCAAAAAGAAGTAGAAACAACTTACCTTTGTGATCTGTATTTAAAAAATTATGCTAATTAGATGTATCTTTAAAAGAAAAAGTATATATAATATATACATGTATGGTGTATATAAATGAGCCATATAACATTTTTTTAAATATTAATCATACGAATATTCATTTTTCTTGCGATAATAAAAAATCAAAATATTCGAGATACGACCCATCTTGTATGATAATAACAATGTTTTTATTATAAACATTTAATAATCGAAAATGCATTAATTTTTTCTAATATATAATCGCAAATAATCGTTGCGACGCAGATTTTCGTTAATTCATTTTTTATTTTAAAAAGATCGAACAGCTAACACTGAGAATAAATAAATCTGACGAAACATCGTCATCGTTATCGCCGTTTCATACATTTTTTTTTCTTCTCGAAGGACCAACAACAACAAAAATAATGATAAAAATAATAGTAATAAAAATAAAAAATTAAAAAATAGAAGAAAAAACAAGAATTGAGAAATAATAATAATAATAATAATAATAATAATAATAATAATAATAATAATAATAATGATAATAATAATGATAATAATAATAATAATAATAATAATAATAATAAATAAATAAATAAATAAAATGATCTAGATAGAAGATATTATAGTTAACGATAATACTGCTTAGATAAATCTCATTAAACGATACATTATTTACGTAATTAATTAAATACAAATTAATTACATAACTAATTGAGGAACGATATAATCCATTAACGAGACTAATCATTAAAAACTAATATTCCGACGATGACGTGTCCTGTCTGTTTCGTCAGATAACGCGTCCAATTATTATATATTTAATAATAATATATTTATTATATAAAATTAAGAGTATATATCTATATACTATCGGGACACAGCAAACATTGAAAATGTTGGTTTCATGTGGGTAAATGTAAGAAGGGGGTCGGCTTCGGGCTAAGGGGGCTGGTTGGTAATGGTGGTAAAAGAGAAGAGGGGGGCTCCATATCACAGAGAGACAGACACAAGTTGCAGGAAACTAAATTTACTTCGACACCGAACTTGTTTATGTGTTATTCATATAAATATATAATTAATTAATTACTCAATTAATTAACTATGACTTCTTTTCTATTTGAAATGGGGTTCTCAAGGTTTTTAAGAAGATTAAACAAAAAGAGCAAGATAAAAAAAAAGGAGAATAGAATAGAAAAAAGAAGAAAAGGAAAAGAATAAATTGAAATAATTATCAAAGAACTTTATCGTCTCGTTCTTTCGAAATGTGGAGAACTTATGGGGTTGGGGGGGGGTGGTTTTAGAAAAAAGGGGTTTGGTGGGTGGACACGATCGAGAATTCGAGCAGGAGAAGGGAGCTCTTTATATTATTATTTTTTTTTACTCGTGTATATTTATATACAAATTATTTTTATCTATTTATCATTATTATTATTATTTTATTTTATATTAATAAAAAAAGGTGCTCCCTGTCTCGTACTAGCGATTTAAAACGATCGTTCGATTCGTAGAAGAAGAAAAAGGTTTACATCGGATTTCTTGGTATTATTCTTTTTTCTTTTTAATAGTAAAGGGGTTGTGGGTATGAGAATAAATTATTATTTTTTTTTTTGCGTTTGCCGATTTTCGAACGAAAAGGGCGGCATTTCTTTTCTGTTGGCGATCATCGTCGAAATTGTTTAAGAAAAAAGAAAGAGTACGAGCACGCTTTATTTACATCTCGACTCGCCGTCATCGCGTATTTTATATTAATACCGTTTGGTATGTTTTTTAATATAAGTGCGTGTTACGTAAACGTGTGTTAAATGTATAGTATGCGTGTATATATTAATATGTTACCCTCTTTTTCTCTTTCTCTTTCCCACTCCTCTCTCATTGATTTATTTAAATTAATCAATCGAACGACACACGCCCAATTTCGTCCGACAAACTTTGTGTATTTAATTATTTATATTCAACGATATTAATATTATTACTATTATTTTGTATTAATTATTATAATGAATGATTGCTTTAAATATCTAACAGGTAAATGAACAAGTAGAATAAACTGCACGATTTTTTTAATGTCGTCGATTGATCGTTTACGTACGTACAGAGGGATGCTTTTTTGTTGATGTATCTTGCCGAGAATTCACGTATTATTATTTTTTTATATATTTATATATATATATATATATACGTTTATGTATGTAAAAGGAAAGTAGTCAATATATGTATATATATATATATATATATATATTTATACATGTAATGTAGGCGTATACGTGGGTAAATTTCTATATATATATATATATATGTATTATCACTCGTTGCATGCGATCGTAATAGCATAATGGGATAGGATTTACAAGCGGTGATTTGGATTGATAATAATACGTTACTGCAAATTACCACACACCGTTTCAAAAAACTGGATATATAGCCCAAAAAGAGATATACGTATGATATTTATATAAGATATATATAAATTATATATATAAATAAATATAATACAAATATATAATATTTATATATTATATATAATTTATATAATATATATATAAATATATATATTTATATACACTTATGCACATATAAATATATATATAAAGTATAGATACATATACACTATAGAAATATATATCAAATATAATAAAGTATATCATTATATGAGACTCATTGAATTGTATAACTTTGTCCTTAAGACATTTGATGTATTTTTAAAAACAGGTGCAAACTTTAGGTGATTCTCCTTGTATATATTTTTTTTTTTAGGGCTATTTTTATAGATATCTATATTATATTTTACTATATAGATATATACATATATAGCTACCTATATATCTATGGATCATTTATTATGAAAGCGGTGTAAGTTAATTTTTGAACAAAATTGAGAAAATTTGTATTAATCATAAATAAAATATATGTTTTTTTTATTGTTTACAATAATGAACTTACACCCATATTCTTAGTAAATGGTCTATATATGTATTTTTGGGTATCTCAATATATGTATATAATCATATGTTTTCATACTGGTTTAGTTTATATAAATATGTGTATATATGTATGTATATATAAATATATATATTTATATATTATATAGTTAATACGTATCTACGATAAGCGGTTGAGTGTCACGCGAAGCTCGGACGTTGGTACGCGACGTTTATTATTTGATAATACTTAATTTAATTTAATTATTTTTGTTTACAATTAAAAAACGTGCTCGTCGGATGACCGTCAAGGATGATAAGGATTTCGAGGATTCATAAGGTGAGAATAAAAAAAAATAAAAAAATAAAGAAAATTGTTAGGAAGAAATGATATTGTCTCTCGTCGAATTATTTTATTTCTTTTTTCCCTCAATTATCGAAATTATTCCTATTTTGTCCTTTTTTTATAACAAAAAACGAAAAATAAATTAAAAAAAAAAGATAAGATTTATTTTAGGTTTATCATTTGCGATCGATGAACGGACAATTTTCGAGTGTAAAGAGTAGCGTGCCGTACGTCCATTTATATTTTTTTTGTTTGTTTCATTTAACTGTTGTCATATTTTTTGTTTTTTTTTTCTTTTTTTATTTAAATGGGAGAAAAGTAGAGAAAAGAGAGCTCGAAGATTAATTTACTTAAAAAGGAGACGAAGGAAATACGTGTAAGAAAATTAAAGTTAGAAAAAAATAGAAAAAAAAATAATTTAAGTAACAAATAAAAAATATAAATCTTAAAAAAAAAAGACAAAGGAAAAAAAAAAGAAAAGAAAACAATTTATCCAGTCGGCTTGCGCGTTTGAAAATAATGTATATATATATATTTCAATCGTATTTATTTAAATTATTCAAAAAAAAAAGATGAAGAAAAAACGAAATTCGTTCGTCTTTTTTTTCTTCGTCGTGTCTTCTTTTTTTTTATCTTTTTTTCTTTCTCAATATTGAAAAAGGATTTTTATCGATATTATTTATTACTTTTTTTTTTCTTTTCATTTAAATATCAGGAGGAAAAGAAGGATGGATTAGGGTTGGGGTATTATTTTAGAGGAAAATTGTATCATGCATTAAATCTTATATTACTTATTTTTACTTGTATGTTTCTCTTCTTTCTTTCGGGAGGATGCAGGATGATCGATTCGAGGATTAATTATTTTAAGAGAGAAAGAGAGAATGAGAGAGAAAGAAAGAGAGGTGGAGTGGAGAGGAGAGGAGAGGATCTTTTTTCTTTTTTCTTTCTTTTTTTGAAGGTATAATATGTTTTAATTGTTTTTATTGCTTTCAATTTTAAATTGATTGGAAAAGAAGATTGTAAGAGAGGAAAAATTATTTCGAGGCTCGTTTTATTTTTTCTTATTTTTTTTGTTTTAAACGAACAATTTTGTTTTGGGAGTTTGGATAATAAGGAAAAATTCTTATTGTTGTATCTATTATTATTATCTTTTAAGATGGAAGATAGAAAGATAGTGAGAGAGAGATTGAGATAGATAGATAGAGAGAGAGAGAGAGAGAGAGAGAGAGAGATTGAGAGAGATAGATAGATAGAAAAGAGAGAGCGAGCGAGCGAGCGAGCGAGTGAGCGAGCTTTTGCGAGCGAGCGGGCCAATCGAGCGTTACCTTTGAATGTTGTGCAGATGTTGGTGTTATAGGTGGTGTTTCTTCAGCATCTACGCTTGCTGCATTTGGTAATCGCTGCTCTTGCACCGAGGCCAAGCTGAAAGCCAACCCCGTTTAATCATTTCATATTTATTTATATATTCTTATTTCTATATAGTTTTTTTTGAAACACTTTGACTGTCAACACCAAATTCATCATACGTATTGCTCACGGGTCACTTTTTATTTCAAAGTATATTCTATTATAATTAACGATAATGTTCGAAATCTGATAAATGTAATTTTTCATTCAACTTTTACAATCGTAAATGTTCAAGCGTTTCGGTCACCCATGACCAACGTGGCAGTCAATGTTTTTACTAATTTTTATTTTATTTTAGATATATCTGTTGTCCTTTTTTAAGTTTTTCATTTATATACTATGATAAGGATTGTATTCTAAAGAATTAGAAATAATTGATATATATCAGTTTTATTATCATTTAATTAATTATTTCATTATAATGTTTAATTAATTAACTGAATAGACTTTCACTTTGTTTGATGGAGTGAATAATTAGTTTTACAAAGAAAACTGTTGGTACTGGATTTTTGTTGGAGACAAATGTTTTTACTAAACATCAACATTTATAATAGTTTGGTAATTAATTTTTAGTTACTATTATGATATTAAAAAATTGCTTTTAATGGTTTGTTATGATTTTATATACGTTACTAAGAGATAATAAGATTGTTATTATCTACTTTACAGTAATTAGAACGATAATCGAAAAAGAAATTTAATTTGTAAACAGGAAGATCCTGTTCCGTTTCCTTTTATCAATAAAAAACAACAGGTATATTTATTTATACTTCTTAATAAGAGTTCATTCTCTTCGGGGATATGTCCCCGAAGAGGGACATATATTCCCATATTCCTATGGGAACGAAATAAACGCACCGTTTAAGCGTAACGAGCGTTCCCGTTAATTTTTTGCAACGTTTCAAAGCAGACTCCAATCGTTCAGGTTCTTCCTTTAGGAACTTCTCCTCTCGTACGATTTTTTCCATTTCCGAACTTAAAAGACCCTTCATACCTTCTTGTAGACTTGGAAATCGTACCTTTAGATCCGCCACGGCTGTGCTGAAACGTACAAGGAAAAAGAATAATTTAATTTAATAAATAAGATAACATTAATTTTTGTTTAATTAAAGATTTCCATTATGATTAAGGTTTTTCATTTTTAGTTTATTCTTTACCTCGATTTATTTAATATCAATGCCATATTTTCCACGTCTGACATATTCACACGTGTTTTCCTATTGATGACGTTACCACGAAGTTCCTCCACCGTACTCTCGAGCTCGCTACAAATTTTCATTAAAAATAGACAATTATTCTTTTTAATTTTACAAAGTTCCGTACAAACAAATTTTTCATTATAGTTTCGTTTGTACCTCCGATTACAGGACACCCTGTTTATAAAAATATTGAATTAAAAAAAGGACTAACGTAAGATCTTTTTCCAGCCTAAGCATTTCCTGTTTGTAGAGGTCTTCCTCTCGACTTAGTCGAACTTTTTCTGCATCACCAGTCGTCCAAGCAGCATCACCACCGGACAATAACATTGCTCTGAAAAATAATGTTCAAATAAAAGGTAAATAAATCATTGATAGTATTTTTTTTTTTACATGAATCATTAAAGCAGATACCAAAGTATTGAAGGAAGATACAAATACCTGATCGTGATGAAAGTATCCCTAATAGTTTCACGTATAGTATGAGCCTGAGATTGTGACAAACGTCGGAGATTCCTAACATCCTGTCTGAGATCCTTAGCTTTTTTTTGCAGTCCTCTTAATTGATTATACATCTCTGGTGTCAAGGCTAAATCACGGTAGACGTATTGACCAGCTACCAAGGCTGCTGGTTTTGGTGGTGGTGTTGGCTTGTGTCTCTCTCGTTCTGAAATCATCCATTTTTCTATTAATTTTATTCAAATAAATAATTAAGATAAATGTTAAAGTATTTATTTAGACACAAAAAAAATATAAAATAAAAATACAATTGTCAAATTACTCTAAGAAGCTTTCCCCAGACGTAAAAAAATAAATATTGACGAAGACATAATATAATATTAATTATTATTATGCAGGTAATAAGTATTGAAGGAAGACCTAATTAAAAAAATTTAAATTTTATGATCTATTTTATTAATACATAAATTAATTGTAATATATATATATATATATATATATATATATATAATATACAATAAAATATTGTAATACTATAATATATTGTTATAATATTACATATTACAATTAATTGATATTAATAAAATAAATTCTAAAATTAATTTCTTTAACTTTTCAAAAACCATCGAATTATTTCGCCAACACAATTTTATCCATTTACAAATACAAATACGAATAATATATATGTATTAACTTGTAATTATTGTTTATTTTATATCTCGCATATATCTTATAATTTATTTCGAGTAATTGGATTAAACAGATTTAAGGTAAGGAAGACGGTGGAGGAATAAGACAATGACAAACCCATATGACGATTAATTATTATAATGTTACGAATTGTAGGTATATACGCACACACACAAACACGCGCGCGCATACATACGCACACGTATGCACCAACACACATAGAGGATATTATTATTACGTACATATACACAGAATAATTTTGGCGATGATATTTGAAAGCATACAAGATTTGGTTGTATTGATTACCTTGCGAAGACATCCTCGGCAATGTGGAGGATTTGATTGCCGGTTTCGTAGGCTTTGTATCCGCTAGTCGATGGTAGGCATTGGACACAATTGTACGAGAAGGTGTTAGAGATATTATTATTTTTCTGTTAGTTATCTCTCTCTCAATTATATTTTTCTTTTTATTTTTTTTCATCGAGAGATTCAAACCATATTCGTTTTCTTTCTTTGCTTTTTTGTTTCTTTCGTAATATGCAATCTCGAACTTTACATTCTTTCAAATTTTGGCTTTATTCTTCTTCCATCATATTTTTCTTTCGCTTGTTTCAAATGAATTAAATTTTTATTTATTTATTTGTTTATTTTGTAATTATTTTTTTTTTGGAAAGATTAAATAATTATTATCAAATATATTTCGATGAATTTAATTGTTGCAATTAAATTTTAAGTTTAATTGTGTTAATTTAATTGCTAATTAAATCGTTTGAGCGAAAGAGAAGATGATGGTGGAAGAAAAAAAAAGACAAAATAGGTGAAGAACCATTTTGATTGTTTGACTTAACGATTAACAACATGCTCGGAGAGAAAAAGAAATCAATCGTGAAATGACGTGTAGGTGTGTTTGTTGATTTTTATTACCTGCGTGCTGAGGGGAATGTTGTTTCGGTGAATTCATATCTGGTGGCTCGTCACTGAAGGACACTGACTTTTCAAAGGACACCGACTTGTCTGTAATAGATGTCGATCAAAAACAGATTTTCTTATGGGTGATTTTTAAATACGTTTGCAAAAAAAATATCTTTGCGATAATAATAATAATAATAATAATAATAATAATAATAATAATAATAATAAAATAGCTTGCATTTATACATATGTTTATAATATGTATTGTTTAAATTCATATTTATGTGCGAAGAGATAAAATGATGTGCGTTTATATAGAAAAAAAAAAACATTTCAAAAAAATAGGAATCGAATCCACGAATCGTAGATATCGAAAGAATTAATTAATTATTTGTTTGCTTGTTTGTTTGTTTTTTTCATTTCCAAGCTAGATAGAGACAAAAAAAAATAATAATTTAGAAAAAAAAATTCTAATTAAAGTGCTGTAATTTTGATTTCATCGTTCCGTTGGTTCGTTCTAACTAATTTACGTGCGCAATCCTTTTATTTTTATTTTTATTTTTTGTTGTCTAATTTAACCCTTTGCACTTACTTTTTATTCATTCATATTTTACGGCTTTTTTTTTTTTATAAATGACATTGAAATTTTCGATATAAAAAATATTAATAAAAATATTTTCTACGAATGAAATATTACTCGCAAAAATAATAAAATTTTGTTTGTTTGAATATTAAAAAAAAAAAAACTTTCAATATTAATTATCAATCAAGCCCGATGCATAAAATAATATATTTTACAAGACTCGAGGTCAAAGTTCAAAGGGTTAAAAACTTGTCGGATTAATTAGATGTGGCGACATGCAAAAGAAAAAAAAATGTGCATTGGGAGAAGGAATTTGAATGATGCCGTAAGATCAGAGAACAATGAAAAAACGATTGGAATTATGGTATAAATATATTTATATGCTAACAAAAGCGAACTAAATCAATGATAACATGTAGAGCATTTCTAGAGAAACGAAGGGGGAGAAGGTGAATTAAGGGGAAAATGAGAAAGAAAGTAAGAATGTGGTGATAGATAGAAATACAGGAATAGATAGATAGATTGATAGATAGATAGACAGATAAGTAGATAGATAGATAGATAGATAAATAGATAGATAGATAGATAGATTGATTGATTGATAGATAAAAGAAATAATAGAATATTTCATGTGTGCGAAATCGTGCAATGGTGATTGACAGAGCTAGCAGTGCAGCGTTCAAAAAAGCTAATATGTGATATTAGAAATGAAATATATATTATATTGTATTTAAATATATGTAAATGTCATTATGTGAATTAATCGCACCTTTGCCTAATTTCGGTGGTTTAACATCTGTCCTTAAGAACGAGTCATCTGTAACGGTAGTTTGACAGACTTAAATGTTGACAGCGTAGATCGCGTGGTAGTAGATTTTTGTCGTGAGAGTGATAGAGACAGAAAACGTGGTGATATGTAGGTATATACATATGTATTTTAAAATTAAACCAAGAAAAACAAATAAAATAGTATTCGTAAATTAATATTTAATAGCAAAGTTATTTAAATTATGTATGTACGTATATATACCTTTAAAATAAAACAGTAAATAATAGAACATAATCGTATTATGTAACGTAATAGTAATTATAATTAAATTAAAATTATAATATGATGATAATATTAATAAAAATAATAAATATTATGATAAAAATTAAGTACGTTACAATGGTAATGTAAATAATATTTAATATATGGGTTATTTCAAAATATATGAGCCTTCAGGGGTGCATCAATGTTTCGTTAGAGTTGTGTTAGAGTTGTGCCAGAATTTAGGGGTGGTTTCAGTATGTTAAACATAGAATGAAAGTTCATATTATACTCGATATGATTTTGTATTATTCATTGTAGTGATCATGTATGATTGGATATATTTGTACACCTCCTTGGGTCAATGATTATATGAACTTTTGTTTCTTATTTGAACTTACTAAAACTAACCCTTAACACTTTGTTGGCCGGCTATTTTTTTAAGAATTTATCTCATCTCACCGGCTATTACTTCGTAATTTAATTGAAAAGTAAAACAATATAAGTAATTTTTAATAAATTTTACTTATTATTAGACTTTAAATATTTCTTCTTCGTATGATAAACAGTACAACAATAGAACAAAAAAATCTGTTACTATTGTAATATTTATTTTCGCTGCGAAACACGAGTTAACTCGGGACCGGTCAACAAAGTGTTAAGTCATAATTAACATATTTTGAAACATCTTGTATATAAGTGTCGTTAATTATGATTTTGGAATAAATGAAAAAAAAATTGACAAAATTAATCTCCTATAAATTAATGATTTTGTGAATGAATGATAATAGAAATAATTAGAATATTAAATGAAAGATAAAAATAAATTTGTTGAAATTTTTTTGATATACTTCATGATATAAATTATTGTCACATATATTATGTGACATGAATAAAAATAATAATATAGAATCAATGGTAAGTATTCTATAATAATTAATACAGCAATAATATAGTAAATAATAGGAGAGAAGATGAAAAGACACACCTGGCAGTGAGGCAGAGCTGGAGCTAGAATGTTTGTCGAACTCATCCCCGGCGCCTGATGTGTTTGCATTAGTCGGAATAACAAAGCAGTTGTACAGCAGGGTTCTTATTTTTTTTTCATTTGTTGTTTGTTCTTTATATTTTTATCCTTTTATTATTTTATTATTTAGACGAAATTCAAACAACGATAAGCAAAATGATTTTATTTTTTAAGACAATACGATAAGAAAAATTCATTTCGTTAATCGTTGCCTACCTTTCGCTACTTTCCAAAATTCTATCAAATTTTTTACGAATTTTAACATGTACATGTATGTGAATGTGTTTACATCTTACACACGATGGGTTACCTATAAATGATTGTTTACAAAAAATTCATTATTCTTTCTTTATATTTCACGATCTTTCAAGTTTATTTAGTTCTCTTTTTTTTGTTCAGTAGAGCTTGTTAAACAGAGTAATTGTTTCTTTTTTTTTTCAATTCTTTTACAGATACCCCCACGTCCTATAAAAATTCACACACGCACATACACACACATGTGAGTCGGTAATTGTAACGATGGACTAGACAATAAGTCGAAATATTGAAAAACGTCGATTTTTTAATTTATTTTATAATATAAATAATTGTAATGTAAAATAAATCATACAATCCATTTTCTTTTAAATTTTTCCACTTTGATTAGTTCATTGTTATAATTACTAGCATACATGATACACGCGCGTACCTATGAACTCGACATACGCGCACACACTCACATACATGTACATGTAAATTAAATTTCATTTTCTAACTGAATTTTGATAGATTCTTCTTCTTCTTCTTCATGGATGAGTAATGATCGATCGCGTTTTAATTTTCGTACGATTTACAATAAATGATTTAATGTTAAAACAAATTGAGATTGATACAGATAGAGAGAGAGAGAGAGAGAGAGAGAGAGAGAGAGAGAGAGAGAGAGAGAGAGACAAAGATAGAGATAGAAAAGAAAGAGAAAGTGAGATAGTGATAGAGATATTGAGAGTGAGTGAGAGTGAGTGACAGTGAGATTGACGAGAGAGAGAGAGAGAGCGAGAGAGAGAGAGAGAAAGAGAGAGAGAGAGTGTGTCATACCTTAGCTCGCGAACTTCTTCTTCTTCTAGTATTTAATCCACACACAATCGCTTCTTTTTCCTCAATAAAGAGTAATCTGCCTTCAGCACGCATCTCGGAATTTATTTGATCGAGTACACCCGAATAACGCGATTTACTTATATTTCTTTTGTTTATCTTTTTTTCGCTTTGCGATAATAATACAGGACAATGGAAATATCATTTTTTTATGGTCAAATCAAATTGAAGGAATAGTAAATAAAAAGAGAAAGGTGAGGTGGAAAGAAGGGGTAAGAGGTGAGGGGTGAGGTTGGAATTGGAGTAAATGAAAATGACGATGTAATATTAACAACAATGTAGATAATTTATAGATTACGGTCATTGGTTTAGATTTAGATTTTGTGGAAAGAGATAGAGAGAAATATACAGAGAGAGAGAGAGAGAGAGAGAGAGAGAGAGAGAGAGAGAGAGAGAGAGAGAGAGACAGACAGACAGACAGACAGACAGACAGACAGACAGACAGAGGAAAGATTGAAGATACATGTATATGAATTAGAATAAAGTCGAATGGATGAAAGGAATTTGATAATTACGATTTGATTGTGATAAATGATTCTCGAAATAAGCGAGAAACAAAGTATGCGGCTAAGATAGCAATTAAATTTGTAAAACAAATTTGTAAATTTGTATCGAATATGATAAGAAGGAGAGGAAGAAGGATAGATTCCTTGTAGAAAGTTTTTATATTTATATATATGTGTATGTGTTTAAAATATAAGCCATTCATAGGCAAAAACGATTAATACGATTTTTTAGAATTAAATAAAAACTTAACTATAAAAAATAATATATATATATATATGTTATTGTGAAAGATCGAAATTGGAGAATGTTAAGATTCACATAGTCGCTTGACAACGCATACCAAATACGTCGATGAAAAACCGAATATTTGGGTATTCTTTTTAATAAATTAATATTTCAGACACATACACCAAGCGACTATGTGAATTTTGATATTTTCTAATTTTTGCTTTTCACGGTAACGTATACATATATATTTAAGAACAATAATGTGTCGATAATTATGATATAGACTTAATTGTAAATAAATAAAATACACAAATGTAGTTTATATTATAAATAACTTTATTATCAAATTCAATTATCCAACTGTTTTTTGACTTAGGTCATTGTCAAAATCATGTGAAAATATTGGACATGGTATCCAATGAAAACCATGGTATGTTCCTTATTTTTTAAAATGGTCAAATAATTGTGACCATTTTTTGTTTCTAAATGTCTAATTAATCGTTATAGCTAATGGGTGGCTCATATGCATGTGTGTGTGTTACGTATGTTGGAAAGATAGAGAAAGAAAGATAGAAAGAGAGAGAGAGAGAGAGAGAGAGAGAGAGAGAGAGAGAGAGATAGAGAGAGATAGATAGATAGAAAGATAGATAGGAAAGGTTTGTCTTCTTTCTTTTGTAAATTTTGTTGTAAATTTGAGAACGTGTTAGGAATTAGAATTGGAGGATGATCGAACGTACCTGTAGTTCGCGCATAAGGGTCACGACCTGCAGGAACCTGTAAGTAGTCTCTTGGTGATGGGCTCGTGTGTGGTGCATGTGTCAACGCTTTGTGAACCAGACCCGTCAGATTAGCCAATTGTCTTTCCATATGTTCCACTCTTATCCTATTAAAAGAAAACAATAATTTCGATATATGATTAATAATTGAATTGAAATAATTATTTCTTCTTGTCTTATATTCTATTTTGTTTCAAATATTTATTGGTGGGGGTGGGGCAAAGGGTTTCTTTTTGGTTCATTGGGGGGTTATTTGGTTAGTTTTTTGTTTGCTTGTTTGATCTTGCAAAAGCCATTCCTCGAGAAAGGTATAAAAACATCGATATGTTACGATAGTTCATTCATTCATTCGTTCGTTCATTCAATCATTTTGCAAAGGGAATAATATCTTACAAGATGCGCTGCTACTGATTAGATATTCTATCGATAATAGACAATAACGCATAATTCGGCTGGCACATAACTATAATACATTTTTTCTAAAATATTTAGCGCAGGCAAAGCTAAACGTCGTCATGTTCGTGTTCTTTTTATTTTATTTTATTGTATTTGGTTCGATATATTTTGTACATTCATTTAAAGCAAAAGTAGGATCGTATCGAGTAAAATGTGATTTTGTTAGATTATTGTATTTCATCTTCACAAAGCCAAATTTCGTAAGTTTATCAATTTCAAGCGAAACGTTTATTTTTTTATGATAATTTTATTCATGTTTAAATAAAGTAAATCGAATATTGTTTACCATAAAACAATTTAGGATTTATTTTATGATTAAAAAAAAATAATAAATAAAATGATTTATTTTCTATATTAAAATTATTATTAATACGTTGACCGCCACGCTAGTTTTCAAGAAAATCCCCGTGAGGCCAGTGCGCGCTGCTATACTACGCTACACAACAATGCCAGTATATAACGATACTATATCAATAGTTACTTATTGTTATAAAGTATTTCATTTAGAAAGAAATTCTTTTATGGATGGAAATCTTTCGAAATATTTACTAATATACCCTGTAAGCATTAAAAAAAGCGTCGGCCATATATGGCTGACAAAATCAACATGCTATTGTTTCAGAGACTTCATTGTATATATAAATAATTTTTTAAATATATTTTTAAAAACAATTTAAATTTTTTTAGAAAACTTTTATAACAATTCAGAAGTCTCATATTTGTGAAATATCATTCGAAAAATTTACTAATATACCTTGTAAGAGCACTAAAAAAAGTGTCACTAAACAAGTAATTTGGCCTGATCGGAATATTTACCGTCGGTTATATATGGTTGACATTGCAGTCAACGTGTTAAGTAAAAGAAAAGAAGTAGAAAAGTGAGCGAAAATAGTTGTACGTTTTAAATTACATTAGCCACGGTTTTGCGAGTAAAAATAATTTATTTTTAATTAGATTTGTCAGTGGCCTTGTAGGGGTTCATTTGTTCGAGTCAAATTTGTCCATATTGTTTACTATCCGATTGGTAATTAAATAACGTTGAAATATTTGTAAGATTTGTCTCATTCGTTTTTAAAATAAAAATAAATTGTAATATTATTTATTAGAGTAATTTGAAACAACAAATTCGATCATTTCCGATACGATCCTCCAATAACATCATTTTTCACCAATGGAAAAAATTATTACATCTAAATTATATAATTAATAATAATTGCATTCGTTATTAGAAAATTTAATTTTTTTTTTTTCTTATTTATTTACACGGAACGACGATCATGTTCTAACATCGGATTGAATATTCGTCATAGCAACATATAAAACACGTGCATCGTTCCTATGCGCAAAATAGAATTTATTTCGTCTAAAAAAAATATAAAAAAGAAAATAGAAAAAAATGAAGAAAGAAAGGAAAAAAGGATTAGGAAGTTGTATTCGAAAGTTTGCAGCTTTGTTTTTGTCGATGTTGTTGTTGCTAAGTCCGCTAATCGGCATGCTGCATTCCACTGCTGCGATTATCGATAAAGTTGAAAAAGTGAGAGAGAAAGAGAAGAGAAAGAGAAAGAGAAAGAGAAAAAGAAAGAGAAAGAGAAAGAGAAAGAGAAAGAGAAAGAAAAAGAGAGAGAGAGAGAGAGAGAGAGAGAGAGAGAGAGAGAGAAAGAGAAAGAGGATAGTTTTTTATTTTATGTTTTAATTTTTTTTCAATGAAAGGATTAAATAAAATAAGGATAAAAAATGGTGAAGAATTTAGCGTTTTTCTTTCACGACTAATATTTCTTGTTTTTCGGTCATGCTTCTTCTTCTTGCACCATTATCATCATCATCATTTTCATTATTATTATTATCATCATCATCATCATCATCATCATCATCATCATTATCATCATTGTCATTGTCATCATCATCATAATCATCATAGTCATCATCAGCATCATTTTTCCAACATGCAATAATTTTCTTCTTGCAAATCTTGAGGATGATCGATTTGAGTATCGATATTGACGTTAAATTGTTAATTGTTTTTTTATGGAGTATGAAGGAATTTTTAAGATTTTTTTCAAAAGAAAACCGGGATTTTCTTATGAGATTTACAATGCATTTTAGAATAATGAAATAAATTTTGGTTTTTAAAGAGAAACAATTATACGGTGTTAAGTGTTAAAGTAATCGAATAAAGTTAACCTATTTACTCTAATAAAAGATTAAATGTGGAAATAGTTATAAAAAAATACTTTTTTTCTTTTTTGTCGAAAAAAAAGAGAATGTAAGAATGGTTAACACCAGAAAAGAAAAGAAATGTTAAACGGTTTCTGCAGAAACAAGTAAAAGTTGGTCGAATTCCAATCCACTTTATTGTTAGATTCGAATCAGTGTACATATACCCATATGTGTGTATTACATGTGCCGTTGATTACGAAAATGTTTGACGAAGTAAAAAAAAATTGATTAAAATTCATTTTATGATTTATTTTGTAATAGAAGTAATTTTTAGATAGAGTAAATCATAAAATACATTTTAAACAATATTTTTAACTTATTTTAGTCCAATGTCATAATTATCTGTAGCACGCGTGTAAGTGTGTTTATGATTGAAAATAAAACAAAAAGAAAAATATTTTTAATAGAATTAGCCCTATCAAAATGAATCATAATTACCGCTCCGCGTGTATGCATGTATAATAGAAAAACAAACTATAAAAAAAATAGAAGAAAATCCCGGTATATGAAAAAGGAGAATAGAGAGCAAAAAAAAAAACAAAATAAAAAGAAAATAAAAAGAAAAAGGAAAAAAGAAAAAAGATATTGAAGAATGAGCTTAAAAGCGAGGACAGGTAAACTAAATGCGATATAGGACAGAGTGTTTAGGTGAATACCGAGTAGCGTCGTAGCTCTGTCCAGTGGGTATAGGGGCTGCCGTTGGTGGTATGAACGGAGATCGAGGGGGTCCAGAAGGTGGTCGACCTGGTGGTTTCACGCCGTACAGGCTGTAAGATTCCTCCAATAGCTCCGTATCGCTGCACCACCCACAACAGATATACACATCCACGCTATCAGTCATCCAAGGGTGCTTTTATCCATTTTATCATCTTAGACAACCACCTTTTTTCGTATCTCTATTTTTTATCCCATCCCCCAATCTGATGTACCCACCATACCGAATTTCATGAAGATGTATCATTGACAAATTTTTTATAATCATTGACCAACAAATTTGTGTGTGTGTGTGTTTTTTTTTTTAAATAGTACTACTATTACGCGTAGAAATTAATTTTAAAACAAAATTATTATTATTTATTTATATCATCAGTTCTTAATTTCTACATTTAATTAAATAATATGAGAAAAATTGCACGAATTTATTGGTCAATTTAATACAATTTTATTGAGCAGATTGAGCTATTTTTAAAATAATTTTTAAATATAAGATAATAGATTTGATTGGACCGTAAGAGGACATGAAAGAGAAAGAGAAACAGATAGATAAGAGAAACATCAGGATTTCACTCTGTTCGTTTTGAATTTTTTCTTTTTTTATTTATTAAGCATACGTAAGTGTGGACAATTATTTTTAAGCGGTATTAAAACGAGAAGAGAACAAGGAATAAAAAGATACCAAGATAGATGATAGATGATAGATAGAAAACAGAAAAAACGTTAGGGTGATTCCGTTCACCTTGATGTTTTTAAAATACACGTAAGCGTGGAAAATGATTTTTAAGCGATTTTAATACGAGAATAAGACAAAGGTAGAAAAAAATACCAAGATAGATGATAGATGATAGATAAGAAAAAAAGAAAAAACATTAGGGTGATTTTGTTCACCTTGATGTTTTTAAAACACACGTAAGCGTGGAAAATGATTTTGAAAGTGATTATTAAATACGAGATAATAATTTGATATTTGATTGTTCTCCAAAAGGAAAAGGGACAGATAGAGGAACATAGAAAATGATAAGAGAAGGTCAATGATATTGTGCCCATAATTATGAAAGTGGTCTAAGTCATATATCTCTTGTTTCGAGATATTTAAAGATTTATACTTGAATATATATGAATTTTACACAATATTGAAATAACAAACATTATCTAACGATTCATTTTTGATAATATCGTGAAAATTACATTGAATTTATTTAGTTTATAATAATGTAGTGCGTAATAACTGATTAACTCATTTTTTATTAATTTTGACTTAGACCACTTTCATAATTATGAGCACATATATAGAAATAAAAATAAAAAAAAATAAGAAAAGAGGACATAAGAATTCGGGAAACTCTGCTCACCTTGCTTCTTCATCGATGACAGGTGTAACTGTTCCAGAGTACTGCGAATAATAAGGTTCTTCATAGCTGCTACCAGTACTATAGGGACCAGGTGGATACCTTCCGGTAGCAGATCCAATACCACCACCTCGTTCAGGACTGCTCATATAACCACTCTCTCCGTGCAATCGATCTGTGGGTTGATTTATCGTAATTTGTAAGATTAAATAATATTTCATCGTGTTGCTAATTGTTTGTTCTTGTTGTTGTTATTGTTGTTGTCGCTTTCTATATTATCTTATTCTTCGCATTTATTTTAAAATCTTAATCTACTTTCTCTTTTATAATATTTTTTTAATTTTATCTTTCTATGGGAAGCATACATAATAATAAAGTTTTGAGCAAATTACCGAACGAATGTGCAAGTGAAAACTGGATCGCATTTACATTACACATTGTAGATAATGTACATAGTATGAATTGGCGATTTTTCAACGACTACGTCATCAACGACGGAAATAGAGGATAAAAAATAAATAATACGGGTTTCAGAGGCGTGCTTATGGAAGGTTAATCCAAATCTACTGTTTTTTCTTTTTCTTTTTTAAATGCATGATTTAGATCTTTATTTTATATATGTTGATAAGGGGGATGACGATGCACACTACTTTTGCAAGAGGTTTTTTTGTGTGTCTGTGTGTGTAATATAAAATCTATATACATATATACATATATATGTATCTATATATGTATGTATATAAAATACGGAGGGCATTCCGATTGGACGAAATATCGATTCCTCGTACGAATGTATTTCCCCGAAAGTTATTAACTTTTCAAAATACGCGATGATAACCAACTTAGGCGTTTCTGATACAACAGTAGACACGTTCCACCTGCTCGTCCGTTTTTGAAGATTTTAATTTATGGTATTTTTTTTTTCTTTTTCAAGGATTCTACTGACCTGGTATACTATAGAGGGAGACCGAACTGTCTCTAGAGAAACGAGCAGAGCCCCCAAGACTTCCAAGGGGATTTTTGCCGCACTGGTAGCTTCGAAGCGGCTTGGCTGGCGGCACCGCGCCACCACCTAATTCATCCATCCAAAAAAATCAAACAAAATGTCTCGGGGAAAGAGAGAGATATACTTCTAAAGCTGAGTGAGATATTATGTATTTACTTTTTTGCCAAAGGAGAAGAACCAACTTCAACTACCGTTCTTCTTCTCTTTCTCTCTTTTTATTTATTTTTTTACTTTATTTTTTCTCTGATCTTTTTTTCTTTTTCTACCGTTCACCCCTTCCTCCCACCATCCATTTATTTTAAATTTTCTTTTCGTCTCTATACCAACTAACCAACCAACCCACACACCCTTTTTACTTTTTATCTCGTTAAGATTTTACTTAATAGGTAAAAGTATTCATATTTGATGGTAGGATTCTTCTACTTTTTTTTTTTAATAAAAAATATCATGTTACATTATTAATGGTTAAAGTAGATTACTTGTATAACCACAATAAAAAAAAATACATATATCGAATTAAAATAATTGATTTTTAAATAATATTATAAATAAAAAGTTCAAACTGTTAAATTAAAATCCAAACTGAAAAAAAATCAATGAATCGGGAAAATTAATTAAAATAATATTCTTAAGATTACTTTAGTATCTTATTGTTAGTATAACAATTAAGTTGTTAGTAAAACAAGTAAAATAGACAAATGAAAATAATACAAAACATGATTTTTTAATAAAAAAAAAGTTCAAACTGTTAAATTAAGATACAAATTAAATAAAATCATTAAACCAACGCACTTAATTGAAATATCATAATTAAGATTATTTTAAAATCTCACACTTAAAATATCTAATATATTTGTTTTGTAATATTTAAATATAAATGTGAATTAAAATAATATATAAAAATTGATTAATTGATCAAGTAAATTATTGATAATAACACAAGTAAAGAAATCTAATCAAAATGATTGAAAATTTAATAAATATTTTAAATAAAAAGTTCAAACTTTAAAATTAAAAATCAAAGTAAAAAAAACTTAATCATTCATAATACATTAATTAAAATATTTTTAAGATCACTAGAAAAATCCTACAATTAAATAATCAATCCTTTTTCCTTATAAGATGTACACATATCCATACACACATACATACATATATAAACATACATAAGCATACATATGCAGGTTAAGTGACATCTTCGTAAAAAATTAATTAGTTCAATTTGAAGAAATCTCGGACAAGGCGATCTTTTTGTCCAAGTCGGAACGGTGCCTCGAGTCCCTTCGATTCGTTTTTTATCGATCTCAAGGATACAAGGATAATAATAATAATAATAATAGTAATAATATAATCATAAAATAAACAAATAATTGATTAGCTCGAACAAACAAAAAAAGCATCATTTAGAAGTTGCGTGCTCTCTTTAGTTAAATAAGTTGACTCTTTTTATTATGTTCTTCAATTTTGTCTGTTTATAAGGTAGTTGTTGGTGAGTATTGAGAGGGGAGTGAGAGAGTACTTGAATGATAGTCGAAAATTATTATTTGTTTACTCCAACTCCGTGTAAGTTAATTATTTGTTAACGTGTGTTAGTAATCAGTTGCGAAGTTTGAGATGGTTGTTGTGGAGATCGGTTGGGTTGGGTTGCTATGGGTGGGAGGGGGAAGAAGGAAGGGTTATGCGGGGAAGGGGTGGGATTGGAGGTAATTGAATGGCCTTAATTAGTCGATATCAGGATAGGATTGTGAAGTGACGTAATAGGTTGAATTGGTAGGGAACTTAGGAAAGAAAAGTTTGGGTTAGGTGGTGGTTAGAAAGATGGAAGGGGTTGTGACCGGTTAATGTCCCAGTTTCGAATTCGAGCCTTGTTGAGTACTTTAAAAGGACTTTAGCATCGAGTTCTTTCGATCGAAACTTAACTATTTGTACTGATTACTTTATATTGAGAAAAACGAATCGTGTTTGAAAATGCAGAGAAAGAGAGAGAGAGAGAGAGGGAGAGAGAGAAAAACTTCGTGCACGAGTTTGCTTTGGGATGCTCGGTTTGAAAAAAAAATTGTTAATTATTTATAAAAGCATGATAGAAATTAGCATGATAGAAACTAGCATGATAAAGAGAGAATGTAAAATACGTGCTAGGATAAAATAAGTTGGATAAAACTAATTTAAATGATTTCATACGAGATATATTATAGACGGCAGATATTTATATATATATTAGCTCGAGTTAATTGTTGTTAGTCGATGAACGTTTAGTATTGAGTATATTTTATATCTAAATTTTATTATTTATTTTTTTTTTTATGACAATATATTTAATATTTGATGACAAAAAATATTCATTTATATATTAATTTAGATATCAAATATTTCATTAATTAATATTATTTCTCTATCGAATTGTTCTAATTTTTAAAAGTAATTTGCTTGAATTATTCCTGATTAATTGTTAATGGATAACCTTTTTTTTCTATATTATAGAAGTAATCTTGGAATGTCATACTATTTTCATATAATAGTATAGGATCAGATATTATTAGGTAAAATTAATATTTTTGTAGAATTTATTGCTGAATGATTTTGTGAACAATTCGATAGATCGAATATTATTATGGAATTTTTGGAATGAAAAGCATGGAAAGTGTGAAACAACAATTTGAATATCACATAAATATTTAAAAAGCGCGGCTTCCCATTGGATGATCGATACGAATCCGTTTTATATTTTCTTGTTGTTCTTGTTATTGTTAATGAGGAAAAAAGCAAATAAAAAAAAATGTTCTAGATTCTTGGAGACTAAGAGACACCGTTTTCTCGATGAAATATCGGCCACGAAATTCGTCGCTCGTTCGTAAATTATTTAATCGTGCGCAATTGTAAATCAAAAGAGAAAAGAAAATTAAAAATTTAGCGCACGTAATACCTGGTGTAGATAATGGTTTCGGTTGGGTTGGGGTTGCATTTGGTCCTGCTACAACAGAAGATGCTGCTGGACTATACGCCCTTAAAAGAGGTCCACCTCGAGGTAAAGTACTACTACCACCAACGTAATATCCACCACTACCGGAATTCGAATTTTTCGCTGTCTGAAAACACATAAATATTTAACTAATTATTTATTTATTCTTTTTACCAAATAAAATCGTTGAAAGGGATTGAAGTACAAATACGAAGTAGTCGGAACAATCATGGCAAGAACAACGGATAAGAAATGCGAGATTTTTTTCTTATTTTTCGTATTAAGTAGCTAAAAGGTATTAATATTTAAAGACTATTCATTTATTCTATATTAATTAATATGTTTCTTTTTTATCGATTTTATCTTGATTATAATATTTATTTTAATTTGGGTATGTATGTATTTCTTTGATTTTTTAATTTTATTATTATTATTTCAATTATTTATAGTAATATTGTAGTATTATTATATTATATTGTTATTTTTAAAAAATTGTTATTCAAATGAGTAGATAATAATCAATGTTATTGTAGAACACACTTCTTTTTTTCTATAAAAAAAAGACATTTATTGTAGAAAAGAGAAATCAAATTGCGTAACTGTACTCGATAAAAAAAAATATTTACAAAGGTAAATAAAATTAATTATTAATTATAGGAAATAACGAGGTATTATATTAAACGATTATTTACTTTTTATTATTTGATATATAATAGATAAACAATTTTTTTCCTATAGATAAAGGAAGTTTCTCTTTAACTTTGAAATGAAATAAATTCATAAATTCTGTATGATAGCAATAAAAAAAAGAAGGAGTTTTCTAATTAAGCAGACGTTTACAGTGCACGTTCGTAAAATAGTTTTCATTTTGTTCTGTTCGATTTCACCATTTTCCAATCTCTCCGTTTGCTTTCTCGTTGGTTTGTTCAAGCACATATAATAGTTTATCCAACCAGGATATTTAAATCCAATTGCATATACAATCAATTGCTTTTGTTTCATCTCTTAAATTTATCGGGGGAAAAAAAATTCTCCAATTGAAATACTTTATAAAATTTTCAGAAATTATATTACAACAGGAATGAAATTATTCTATTTCTTCAATTAGTAGGTATAACAATTTGTCACTGCGGGAAATTTAAATGTATTCATTTATGCAATAAAAAATAAAATTATTTCTTTTTCTTCTAAATTTATTAAGAAAAAAATCTCCAACTAAAATTTTTGGAATATGTTTAGAAATTCAATAAAAACTTTAGCTTCACTCATTTCTCTATTTTCTCAATTACTAATATTACGTATAATAATTTATCACTGAGAAAAATCTTAATGCAATTAGGAAATCAAAAAGTAAAAGAAAATTATTCCTTATTCTTTTAAATGTACTAAGAATAAAATCTCTAACGTAAATCCTTGGAAAATGTTTAGGAATTAAATAAAAACATTAGCTTCTCTTATTTCTCAATTAGTTCAATATTACGTATAATAATTTATCACTATGGAAAATCTTAATAAATTCACTTATACAATTAAAAAATAAAAAACAATTGTTCTTTATTCTTTTAAATTTATAAAAATATTTTCAAACTGCTTATATTGATCAATTCAATATTTTAGTTCCTTTAAATTTTAAATGTCCAGTTAATTCACTAATTTAAAATATTATACAATTCTAATATTGTTAAGTGTTCGATTAAATATTAAATTAATAACAATAATGAAATAAAGTTAAATTATAAAAGAAAAGAAAAAAAAGAGTGGAGGGTATTTCCCTTCTCGAATTATTTCTAAGATATGCGTTAGGAGGTCTAACTCCCTCTTTTTGATTTCAAGCAAGCGTAAAAGCAAACAGGCTCTGCCGATTCGCATCGATTTCCCTTCCTTAGTCGTTGTTACTCATGCAGTGCGTTCGGCAACGTGATACGTGCTTTTTCTATTGTTGGACTAGTTTGAATTAAAAAGAAAGGAATAAGAAGAAAGAGAAAGAAAAATAAAATAAGAGAATTAAAATAGGAGTCCAATTACAACAGGGGAACGAATTAGAGAGAAGAATAGGGGTTTTAAAATCAAATTTTATTTGTTGTTAATTACAGCAAGATGTTAAAAACAAGAAGATAAAGTTTATCAAAGTGACGTGTCCAATTAAACATTACAATTATTTTGATCATCATTAAGTTTGGTTTTTGTGTAAAATTTTATTTCAGATAGAATTTTTTTCTTAAATTAATGAATTAATTTAAATTAAAAAAATTAATCAATCACAGAAGAGATTTTTCATATTCGTCAAAGATTTATTTTAATCATCGGAAGTAATGTACGAAAGTAAGGATTATGAAAATGTTCGTATCTAATATTATTGTATTTGTTTATTTTATAATTTTTGGATGTTTTATCAAAAATGTGTCTTTGGAATTTTCTACATTGAAGACCGACCAATGGTTTGGAAAGAAATTAAAAATTTCACCTTTACATATGTACACTCTAACTCAGAAAGATTATATTCAGGTAGATATTGTTTTATTATTTTTCAAAATAATTAAGGTTTGTTTAATTTCCTATGACTATTGAATTCAAAAATTTTTCTATACTTTTATAAAAAAAAAGTTTTTTAGAAGTTAGATTTTTTTGATAGAAGTAGATAATTTATTTTATAAGTTATTTTTAGATATTAATTATTTACTTTTTTAATTTTTCTCGTCAATTATCATCAAGGTCGTTAAAGATTTTCGATGAAAGAAAAAGAAAAAGAAAATAATCGATAAAAAGAAATTTACTTTAACAATCACTTTTCGAACGACCAATTACAAAAGAGAATGCGAATGAACCTTTTTTATGGTGTTGCTCCAAATAGATAGAATTTTAATTACCGATAAGAAAATGTTAAGAAGTTAATTTGTAATTTAATTGTATTATTTTTCGTTATTTTTTTTTTTTAGTTTCTCAGGTGGGAATTACCTGTACCTAATATAGAAGAATTTACTTTTTGCTTATGGTTGCGTTCAGTCAACTTTAAGTATCCACAATCGATATTCTCTTACTCTAGTAAGTGTGCAAATATATTTTATTGCAATTAACAATAAATACTATAGAAATTTTTAATATCGGAAATGGTTCCAAATTTTGGATAATAATAAATTTTAAAAGTTAATTATTCTGTTTTGGCTAATTGTTTCTTGTCTCACAATTTTAAATAAACAACTTAGAAACATTTTTACAATTTAAAAGAAAAATTATTCCTTTAACAATGAAAGCAATTAAATAAAAAAAAAATTTACTTCAAGATTCTTGGTATTTCATTCAATTCTAACATTATTTATTGGTTGACTTAAAAGTTATCATAAGTGAAAGTTAAAAAAAAAAAAAAAAGAATTAAAGAGACTATATTATCGTAACACAACAAGTGAAAGGAAATGTATTCCTTGTTTGTTATCTTATTTAAATTTCTCCTATCTTTTTATCACTAATTTTAGTTAAAAAACAAGTATCTTTTGCTTCATTTTTAGTTAAATTTCTTCATTGGAAATAGAATTGATCAAACGATATAATAAAAAATTTTTATAAAAAGTTCTTGTAAAACAAATCTCTACACACACGCACGAACACATAAATAAATAAATTCTTTTTCACTTTTATCAAACTGCTTCTTCCCCTTTTTTTCTAATGATTTATTTGATTCATTTTATTTAAATATGCACATATTTGATTGTATACACACACGCAAACGTAATATCGAAACTTTCGCCAAATTGGAAAGTAGAAAAATTGTTAGATATGTCATATGAAATAAACGAGCGCTTTTATTTTGTTAGAAAACGAGAAAGATCGATTGATAAGAGGATGGATATCTGCAAAGGGTCGGAGCGTTCATTTGGAAATCGGTGGGATCAAAGTATTTGAGGAAGGTGTTACTCTTCAAGAAAATCGATGGTATCATATTTGTCAAAGTTGGGAGAATCGATTAGGTCGATTTGCATTGTGGCTCAATGGTCGAATAAAGACACAAGGTTTCTCTGAAGAGGTTCGTCCAATATCTTTACAAATAATTTCTGCTTCGTACTTTTATTAATACTCCGGTATAATTATTTATTACAATAAACGATAAATTAAAAAAAATTTTTTTTTAATTATTTTCTAACTCATTTTACGATACTTCCTCCTATTTCCAAATTAGTTGACACATTTGTATGAATATTTGCAAAACTACAAATATGACAATTAATTTGGATTTGACATAAAGTAATAAATAATTGAAATAAGATTATAAAATAATATGTTTCTAATTTTTTTTTTTTTAGATATTAATTAATAATTCCAATCTATAATATTTAAAATAAATTTTCGTAATAATTTTTTAACTAAAATAATTATCCTAATTACCAACGCAATAATTCATTTTTATTTCCTCTCATTCTTATTTTCAAACTATTGTATAATTATTTTAATTTTAGACTGTGAATCATGTGATACCAAAATCAGGTGACATAGTCCTAGGCCAAGAGTATACAGATTTCGATAAAGGATTAGAAGAAGGTATCGAAGGATCAATATTTGGATTCAACCTTCTCTTAAAATCAGCATTCGATGAAGAATCAACAAGAATATCTTACACACCACCATCAACATTTACATCATATGGTACTCGTTTCGTACCAAGGATTCCATTGAAAGTTTTCAAAAATTCTCACAACAGATCAAGATTATCATCATCATTATCATTAAATAATTCCAAATATAATCACGATATAATTGGTTCTAGTATTCCGTTGGGTCAACAATTGGTTAAACTTTCTTACGTTTATTGCGAATTGGGTAAAGGTAGTCCACTAATAGGTGGTTCGCTTATGTTAATATCTTGGAGTAGAACACCCGTAAAAATATTTGGTGGAGCAATCCTGAAGAATGCAAACAGGAATTGTGGTAATTTTTGAATATAAAACTCCTAAGTGTCCTGTCATTAAACCCCTAATCCATTCTTACTCAAGTTCTATCTTTAAAACTGTTAATTAAATCCCCCGTCCTTAGTTCTGATAACCAATCTTCTATCCTGCTTTAGGCTAATAAATCTTTTTAGACATCTAGCAATCTAGATAATAAGTGATACTCTGAACAAGGAACATTTCGTAAGAA